TGCTGTTCATGAGGAATCTCATCATGTCTTTTGTCATTTTTGTTTCACAGCTCACTCTGCCTGGGAGTGTTTTTCATGAACAAGTCCTTGCGTGGTAGGTTCTTTTGCAGCTGGCTTAGCCCACTCTTCCTAGTTTACACACCCAGCACCAGGCCTAAAGCTATGGACTTTCAGGTAAATTCCATGGGTGCAGCCCATGTTCCTTTCTGGAACAAAGATGCTCTTTTCCCTCCCTGCACCATCAGCAAGCAGCACCTATTCTGAAGTGTGTTCAGCCCCCATTCACTGGATAGACGAGACAACCAGCCCCAACCCAGCTTCGTGCAGTGAGCACAGGTCCACTCTCCTGCCAAGTAAGGGGTACATTCATCTCCGTCCCCGCCTGAGCTGTGAATCCCAACCTATGTATAACCAGTCTCCTCGACCCTCAGGCTACACTTCATCAGCTTACCCTGTAGACTGATTCTTCATTATTGGTCCACAATGATTGATTGGTGTGTGATTGCATGTGTGCCTGCGTGTGTTTCATCAATCACTCTGGCCTCAATCACTGTGGCTGGACGAAGTTACAGAAAGGGTTTATATATGTGCCCACTCCACCATCTTGATCAGATGTCTTCCAGGTGTCTCAGACACTACGGACCTAGACAAGCAAGATGCGTGCCCCAGACCCAGTCATCTCAGTCCTCACAGAGTGGACAAGCCCATTTCCAAAATGGCAACATTCTCCCTCAGGGACAGGAGTTCGCTTATTAGTGGCTACAGCAGACATACTTTCCTCTCCTGTCCTGTCCTACCCAGAAGAGTGGACACTTCTTCACGAGAGGTCCGGCCGGTTCAACATGCTCAGATAAAATCTGAGGTGCAAACACTGATATCACATAAGTCAGACGCCTCCTCCATCAGGCTCAGAAGGCTCTGGGCTTCCAACGTGCTGTTCCTGGGCTCCTGTTCCCCCTGGGGCTGCACCTTCAGCCCAGTCTGGCCTTGGTGGACCCACCCAAGCCTTGAAGCTCCAACAACCAGTTAGGTGAGAGGAGCAAGGAGAGGGGCCTGAGCACTGCCCACTGGGGTAAGTGGGGAGTCCACACCCCTCCTCCTGTATATGTCCCACCACCACCAATACCATATACATCACCAGAACCTGGGCTTTTCGCCTTTAGGCAACATGTTTAGAACCTCACCTCAGACCCAGGCTTAACAGTTCTTCAACCTTAGGCTTGTCTTTACCAAGCCCAAATCAACTTTTCTTTCAGAGTTTAAAATTTTGTTAGAAAAGGAAGGAAAGAAGGAAGGAAGGAGATAGGGAGGGAGGGAGGATGGAAAGGAGGAAAGAAAGTGAAGAAAGGAGGAGGGTGGAAGGAGACAAATCCTTTGATCTGACAAAGAGATTATCTCATAAAAAAACTGAGCTGCTTACAGTTACACATATGTACATTTCAGCATCCACTTGCTGCCATCTGCTAAATTAAAACTCTTTATTTAAAATACAATCATTCTTCCACCCCATTGGCCTTCTGTAACCTAGGGACCCAGCACGTACCCCCTCCACAGTAGGAGAGTTTGTCCTTTTGCTTTGGGAGCTTCTTGTAGGTACCTGAAAAGGCTCATCAATTTTTCCTCCAAGGCCCTTAATGGGGTTTTACATCCTCTCCTGGGCTGGCAGCCGCTCCCCAAAGGAGACAGAAAGGACTGTCTTCCCTTCAAGAGCCTCCTGCTCCCATCTGCGTGTGCGCCCACCTCTGGCGAGGATGGCTTTTCTGGGCTTTTTCGTTAGGTCCTTGAGGACTTCGGGGTTCCTGGAGCCAGCAAGAGAAAACTGTAATTTGGGGTCAGCTCTTGTGTGCCTGTTCCAAATGTCACAGACCAGATGCCAAAATGGTTTAATATGACTCTCCCCGCATGAGAACATCCCCCAGAAAACCAGTCAAACCCAGGGACAGGCTAGAAATAGGACACACAGTTGGGGCGGGAGGAACCTCTTTTTCTTAAGAGGTAGGAAAGGGCAGCAGAGAGGAAAGACCGGCAGACAGGGCGTGAGGCCGAGGCCCCGGGTCCAGCAGGGGGGGAGAGTCACGTGGGCACAAAGTGGCGCCTCTAATGATGTGCTGCGGACAGAGCACGAGTGAGGAGATGGTGGCTGCCGCACTCTAAAGCCACTGATGACGGTGGAGGCTGGCTAGGGATCAAGCCCGGGGAAGTTTTGCCATTGTGTTCTCATTCTAGGCAACTTGTCTTGAGTTTTCCTTTTCTCCAGCAGGGAAACCCAGAGGGCGTAGCGGCGAGTGGGAACAAAAGAAGGAAGTTCCAGCACTCAACACAAGGTGGCGCCAGACACCCGTGGACGTAATGAGGTCCCCGCTCCAGGTGGGCTCTAGGAGCTGCCGGAACTTCCACGAAGGAATGAGTCAGGCCAGGTTCCAAGGCAACTTGAGGACTTTGCGCGCACAGGAAGATAGCCAAAAGATAAAATAGGACACACAGAAAAATAAGAAAAAGTATCTAAGAGATAGGGAGGGTAGCACAGAGGCTAGACAAAGTCTACCAGTCTATGGAAGGAACTTAAGAGAACTTCTCCGCGGAATCCCTGGCAGGACCCGAGATAGGCAGGCGCAGAAAGGCTGGAAGAGGAGGCCGTTGCAGGCGCTCAGGTGGGTGAGGGTCATGGCTGAGCCAGGGAATGGTGGTGGTGGAGAAAAATGCCTTCTCACTGATGTATCTACAGTTACTGATTTATATTCACTATTGGTCTTTGATACAGTGAGTCCAATAAACCCAACAGGAGTCAATAACAAGAATCATTAGCAATACATTCTCTTCATCTTCTTTGAGAATTCCTTGTATTAGCATTTGCTCTTTTTGAGTACAGTTACGGACTCATGACTTTTCAAACTTATCATGTCAGTTGCTGTCAGCCAGTATTCTCCTTTTGATGCTCACATTGTCCCAACTTTGGCTGGGGGTGTCCCTTTAGGACTGACTCTTACATTCTTTTGGATGAGCCAATTATTTAAAGCTTTGCTTCTGGACCAACAGGGTGTAGATGTCCTGGGGTTGCCTTGCACCCTTCCACCCCAGACCACGCATGGAATTAGACATTGCTCCGAGAAACCCTGGCTCCTTTTGAGAGAAAAATAGCGTTAGAAACCAAAAGCTGGGGTACATTGCTACTGGGCCATTTCAGTAGGGAAAAAAAAAAGCAAAAAAGGAAATATATACTTTAATTTAATGTTTTATAAAGGCATGACTTCATATTGATAGATTCAATTCAGTTCCAAAAGTACACGGCTCCTGCTTCAAATGTTTTATTTTGGGTCTACAATTGGACTTTCCTCTCACTAAGCCTGAAATCTAGGTTCCTATCAAAATAAACATAAATACTTACTTGCTCTATGTGAAAACTTAAGAGAAGAGCTCAAAAAAAAAACACACTGTCAATACAAACAAGTTCAAATACTGAATAAAGTTTTTGTTTTGGCTGCACACTCCTAAGGAATCGTTGCCAAATCACTTTGTTCTAGAATCACGCTTGATCTCCCGCACTGTGTAAGGACTTATCTGATAGACAGTTTCCATTCATTTCCATTCAGAGGAGGTTGCAGCCTGCCCTCACCCGTTCCCTGTTTTCTGCTTTACTTTGTCGTTTTCCCACAGGACTTACAAACCCAATATAATTCACTTAATAATAATAATTACTCTTATTATTTTTATTTCTCCATTCCCCCATCCGAAGGTAAGCCTCATGGAGCAGGAGTCTTGTTCATTGGACTCTGGCAGCATCTGAAGGCAGGTCTGAGAAAGCTGGGTTGACACTGGGGTCCGGGGGAGTCCACTCCATCGAGCAACAGCAAGGAGGGATGGTAGTCTTCCTGCCATCCTGTTGGAGTTGTTAATCACAGCCCTTTTTACTCATT